AATAGAACAATTATTGATGAAATTCATATGGAATCACAAAAAACCCTGAAGAGCCAAAGCTCTTCTGAAAAAAAAAAAAAAAAAAGAAGGGAATGGAAGCATCACACTCCCAGACTTCAGACTATACTACAAAGCCATAATCATCAAAACTGCATGGTGTTGGAACAAGAACAGACACACAGACCAATGGAATCGAATAGAAAATCCAGAAATAAACCCACAGATTTATGGTCAACTAATATTTGACAAAGGAGCAAAGAATATGCACTGGAGCAAGGAAAGTTTGTTCAATAAATGGTGCTGGGAAAACTGGTCGCTACATGCAAAAGAATGAAGCTTGACCACTACCTCACACCATGCACAAAAACCAACTCAAAATGGATTAAAGAACTAGATATAAGACCTGAAACCATAAAATACATAGAAGGAAATATAGGCTAAACGCTACATGACATGAACCTCGAAGACATCTTTACAGACACATTACCCAAAGCAGTGATAGTGAAGACAAAGATAAACAGCTGGGACTACATCAAATTAAAGAGCTTCTGCACAGCAAAAGAGACAATAACAAAAACAAAGAGAAACCCCACCGACTGGGAGAAAATTTTTTTGCACAACACTAACGATAAAGGACTGATCACAAAAATCTACAAAGAGCTGATGAGACTCAACAAAAACAAAAATAATCCAGTCAAAAAATGGGCAGAAGAGCTAAAAAGAAACTTCTCTGAAGAAGAAATGCAAATGGCCAACAGGCGGGCATCCCCTGGTGGCTCAGTGGTTGAGCGCTGGGCTGGGAAGCTGCCCGCAGCCTCTGCAGCACCGGTTCGGTTCCCGGCAACCGGCGAGGGTCCTACATGGCGCGCAGACCTCTCCTGTCGCCTCTGCAGCTCCCCTCAGCAGTGTATTTCGTCAGCCTGCCTGTTCCTGTTCTCCACTCTGGCTCTGGTGAATTCTCTCACGCTCCCGCGCTTCTGACTATACCCAGTGCTTGTATTAAAAAAAAAAAAAATGGCCAACAGGCATATGAAAAAATGTTCAACATCACTTGTAATCAGAGAAATGCAAATCAAAACTACAATGAGATACCATCTCACACCAGTGAGAATGGCACATATTAAAATAACTAGCAACAACAAATGTTGGCAAGGATGTGGAGAAAAAAGAACTCTCCCGCACTGCTGGTGGGAGTGCAAACTGGTCCAACCACTATGGAGAGCTGTGTGGAGATTTCTGGACCTACTAAACATAGAGCTTCCATATGATCCAGCAATTCCACTCCTAGGTATTTACCCGAAGGACACAGAAACATCAATTCCAAAGGGCACCTGAATCCCTATGTTTATAGCAGCACTATTTACAATAACTAAGCTTTGGAAACAACCCAAATGCCCAAAAACAGAGGACTGGATCAAGAAGATGTGGTACATATACACAATGGAATATTACTCAGCAATCAAAAAAGGTAAACACATGCAGTTTGCAGCAACATGGATGGAGCTAGAAAGGATCATGCTCAGAGAAATAAGTCAGAAAGAGAAAGAAAAATACCGGATGGTCTCACTCATAACAGGAATTTAGAAAACCTAAATAAGAGACCAGGATAAAGACTAATCAATGCCAAGTAATAATCAAAATCAAGAAGCAACTATAAACCAGAGACACACTATGGGGTGGGGGGTAGGGGGAGAGGAAGGGGAGGAGAAAGAAAGGACTAGAGTCAAAATAAGGGGGGAGGTGCAATTGTATGGGGAATATAACCAAAATGAAAATGCATACATTGTACAAAGATGAAAAAAGATGTAAGAATTATATAAAATAAAATATTTAAATAAATAAAAAAAAAGAAATCCATTGCCTCTTAACACTGGAACCCAAAAGATTATATATATAAATATAGACATATAGATACAATTCACCAATCTGATTCAGATTTCCTGCCCTCTTTTTCTTCTTCCCTATTTTATAGGGAATAATTTTGAAGTTTAAGCATTAGAAAACATGTTTGCTCTGTGGGTTGACCAGATTTCCTGACTAAGAGCATGCAGGGGAAATTGCTAGCTCATGTTTAAAAAAACTGCTAACTTAAATAAAATACTAGCAAGGAATATTTAAAGAAAACATAGATTAATATATCCAATGAGAAAATGACCCCATTACAGCTGCTGTTCATGTCAAGCTTCTGGGAAAGACACGAATTCAGCAATTAAAAACTAGTGACTAATTCTGACATAAATGCATCTAACATAGTAGGTAATTCTCTTATAAAATTCTAATGGCTGGTGGCTTTTGGTCATATTTAATGCATAACCAGGCCAATTTTACTAAGACAGAGATGATAAACAGCTAAAGTTGGCAATATTATCTCTGTGGCTGTCTCATTTCTTTGTTTTGGAGGCAGGTGAGATTTACTAAAATCAAAAGTCTACTGAATATTCAGCTGCCAGAACCCAGTAAGTTAACACTCAGAGGGAATGCAAGAGAAAATTATAATAAAAATAGAGTAAAAAAAAAAAACTCTGTTGAAGCCATGGTAACATATTTTAACACACATTTCCTAAGAACTTTCTACCCATTAAATATACCTGACATTAGAGATTACAACTGGAAGGACTGGATTCTCTCTTCTGGAGGATTTCACAGTCACATTAGAATGAAAGGCAGATTCACTTTCCTTCCTGAACTCCACGTTTCCACACTTAACACTGGTTTACTCTGTGGTGAGATTCTGTGTGTTCTTCTCTATCAATTCTATCAGGGTCAGGACCTTGTCTGGTATCCCTCATTCTCCACTCCCACCAGCCACACAAAATTTGGCACCTATAGCAAATGCTCAGGAAACATCCATGGAAATAAGAACAAAGAACAAACTTTACAACCTAGAACAGTGACCTTCCACCTGGACTGCACTTTGGAATTGTCTGGGGAGCTCTGAAAAATCTCCAGTCCTGGCCACACCCTAGACCATGTAAACCAGAAGCTGGGTGTCCTGTCAGAGTGTATGTGAGCACTCCCTGGGTGATTAGTTCAGAACCACTGCGTGTTCATATGCTAGGGGCGTAAAAGTAAAGTAATAAATTTAATACACTATTCTTGAATAATGTCTACTTTTATGCTTGTATAATGCTTTACAGTTTTTCCAAGTGGGATATATTTCTTAAAATTTAATAAAGATCTTACAATCTGGTGGACAAAGTATCCAAGTGTAGTGTGTGTGAGTTGTGTGATGAGGATGTGTCTGGTGTGCATGTGCAATGAGCGGCATTGGAGTGTGTGGTGAGTGTGTGTGTGATGTGAGTGTGTGTGTGGTGGGGGGGACAGAGACATGGAATCAGGGAAAGTGCTGAGTGCTGATGGCAACAGCAGCTGGAAGGAAGTCCAGGGAGGCAGAAGGAAGTAGCATCAGAAGGGGGAGGTGTGTGTCACAGGGTCCCACTGACTTAGGAAAGCTGTTCTGTGTCCATTTGTAGAAGGGGGGGCAGTGCCTCTCACGTTATGGTGGGAAAGCATCATTGGTTGTGCCAGTGCTCATGGATGTGCTGGTGCACAGGGAACAGTGTCCTAAGTGTCCAGGTGGGGACCAATAGCTCTGCAGGGAGAACTAACTAGCTGGGGAGCCAGGACCCATCCTAGGACCCTGACAGGAGGTCTGAGCTCTTGATTGCTGACACCCCCCACCCCTCACACACAAACACAAGTGAGAGGTATCAGTATTAGGAGGGCCAAGATCCTGACTTTGGGAACAAAGCCCACCACAGGGCTGGAGACATGGAACCCTATGTGTCTCTCCAGCTTCTGCTTCTGGCTTCCGCTCCACACTTTTAGTTCCAGAAAGACCTCAGTATTTGCAGCTGCTTGATGCCTCAGATTCTTTGTGCCTGCTCCCTCCTCTTCCTGCTTAACTCCTCACTATCCAGCTTTAGCATCCTTCCCGGGGGATTCCTTTACCAGGCAGGGCTGGGCCACCCTCCTCTGCGGGCCTCCCACCGCCTCGTCCTCGTTTTGGAGCAGCCAGGACACTCCACCTTGACACCTGTCTTTCACTTGGAGGAAAGCAGCTGATGAGTCTCCGTATACTCAGTGCCCACCAAGAGTGCTGACCTCCAGCGAGCGAATGAATGACTAGGGAGTCTGAGTTAATGAATGAGAGCGCGGTAACATGAATGAATGAACGAATGGAGGGCGAGTGAATGACAGGGAGGTGAATGGATGAATGAGAGGAGCTAAGTGGCCAAAAGAATGTATGGGGGGGTAAGTAACCGAATGAGTGAATGGGGTGAGGCAATGAAAGAATGAATGAAGGGGGTCGTCAGAGTGCATGAATGAACGAGGAGAGGGTGAATGGTTAGAAGAGAATGTGCGAGGAGAGAGGGAGCGGGTTGGGGGGTGGGGTGAGTGAGTAAGCGCGGGCGGAACCCGGGGCGCCTGGGCTCAGGCGGACGCTGACTGAACGCGTGAGCAATCAATGAATGAGCCGCTGACCAAGGAGGCACAGAGCGGGTGAACGAGAGCGCGGGGCTGGCAGCCGGCCGGTTGGCGCAGTGCGGAGCCGCGGGCGGGAAGCCGCGCCAGGCTCGGGTCTCCGGCTTCCGCGAGGCCTGGGGAGACTGGGGTGGGCGTGGCGAGGCCGGGCCTGGGCGTGGCAAGGCCGGGTATGGGCGTGGCGAGGCCTGGTATGGGCGTGGCGAGGCCTGGTATGGGCGTGGCAAGGCCGGGTATGGGCGTGGCGAGCCCGGGCCTGGGCGTGGCGGAGCGAGGCTGGGGACCTGGCGGGTGGCTAGTGGGCGGGGCTGGCCCGAATTGGGGCGGAGCGATTCCGGGAGTGGGCGGGGTGAGGCGCGCAGGGCGGGAGAGGCGCGCAGGGCGGGGTGGGCGGGCCCGGGGCGGGCGCGGGAGGAAGTCACGTGGCGCGCACTCACATGACTGGCGGCGCTATGGACCCGCTGCCCGCGGCGGCAGTCGCGGCGGCTCCTGAAGCGGAGGCTGACGAGGAGGCGGATCCCCCGGCGGCAGGTGAGGCTGGCGGCCCACCTGCCCCGCTCGCGGCTCTGGCCCCGAGCTCGCGGGTTACCGCGAGGGCCTTCGGCTCTCCTCCCGCCCTCCGGCGCCCCGCGGTCCTCCGGGGTCTCACATCCCACTCCCCTCAGCCCCTTCGCCCGGGAGGGCCTCCCTGGGCTCACCGCGGTGCAACTCTGGCGTCTGGCCGGGTTTGAGCCTGGCGGCGCGCTCCTGCCCTGGGTCCTCCAAGTCTGTCCAAAATCCCGGGGTCCCCGCGCGCCCCCGGCTCCCTGCGGAGCCGCGCCTGCCGGCCGCGTGGCGGGCCTCGGACGAGTAATTTGGCCGCTAGGGATTTATGTCTCCTCATCTGTAACCTAGACACGCTTCTTTAGAGGTGCTTTTGCGTTAGTGGACTGGCTTGACTTTTAAAGGTTCTGTTTGAATGTCTACGCCTATGCCTCTAACTGAAAGGTAGAGGATGTTCTTGTCTGTTCTTGTGTCTTTTCGGCGGTGGTGGGACACAAGTTTGGGGGAATCCGCCTGGGGGGAGTGGCAAATTGTCATGGAGGAGGCCGTATTTAGAGTGGGTTCTGAAGCGTTTTGAACAGTTTATTCATTATCGAGAAAAAGGAGGGAGTGACTGAAGCTGTGTGTGTGTGTGTGGGGGGGCATTGCCTTGGGTTGACCTGAGTAATATAAAAATCCTGGGCGTGTCTGCATGTGGACAACAAATGGGCCCCCTACTCCCCTCCCTTTGGTTTTTAGTCGTTTTTCCTGTCACTTGTGTTCGGTGTAAGGAGCGCATGTGATGATTCTTGCTTTTGGTTAGAACATTGTGTTGGAGAGGTTATAGATTTGAACCCAATGTGGGCCAGTGGACCCCATTTTCAAGACCCCAAACTGGCACCCCTGCCCTGCCTCATATTTGGAAATGGGAAGTTGTGATTGGGTCGAATGCTCCTTCCAACAGGGGTTTTATGGCAGTTCAGATTCGCCGGCCAAGGTGGTGGGTGTCTCAGGGGTCTCTACAGCTATAGGGACAGCAATAAATGTTCCACCCAGGACTCAACTCCTGGCTGCCACTACAGTTAAGAGGAGCTTTCTGATACTGCCCGCTCTGACTACCCATAGATGGGGTGTGGTGATTTTATTAGGAGTGCTCATGGTTTCTACCCTGTAGCACTTCTCAGTATTCCTGTAGCCCTGTGAGTCTCAAAGAGAGTCCATGGCACTGTAGGGACATAGCCTGTCATTTCATTCCACTTAAAACCTTTTTCCCATTCCATGAGGCACGTGAAGCAGTAGATCAAGCACTTTTTACAGGGGAAAACTATACTGCAGAGCCAAAGTGGACAATGTTGAGGGAGTGTGTTGTGATGGAGACTATGATTGCGTTGGGAATCAATAAGCCTAAGCCTTTGGGAATGAATTTTGTCCAAAGACAGTATTTGTCTATCTCACACTTTAGCAAGGGTCGATTTGGGCTTGTTGGAGGAGTTGTGGCTTGTGAATATACAATGAATTTCCACTTCTCTGGTGTTCTCTCCATCCAACTAGAGCCCACTGTTAGAATTAATTGTGGAAACCATGAGTTTTTGATCTTTGTAGATCCTTTGCAATCCTCACAAAAAAAATTGCATTCATTATAGTTTCCAGCACTTATTGTGTTCTAATATTTTTTACATTCTAAGACAAGTCTTATTATATTCTAATTCTTTGAAATTAAAGATTAAGCTGTGAATGATCTCAAAACTTTTACTTCCAGTTATGCAATATGTGGAGAAGCACATTTTCTTAAAAAAAAAAGAAAAGAATATGATAGGTTAAGTTAAAGTCTCACCCCAGTTGCAGTCACCTCTTCTTTACCTGCGGTGACTATTATCAGTTTGAGTTGGATTCTCTCAGTTCTGTTTTTTTTGTTTTTTTTTTTACACATAAATATGTTCAGAAAACAGATGCCTCCTTGAGCTGATGTGCCTGTGTTTCCCTAGGGTGGTGTTTTAGTTTTCTGCTGCTGCTGTAACAAATTTCCAAACTTGGTGGATTAAACAATACAGATTTATCATGTGTTTTGGATGTCAGTAGGCTTAACTCCAGGTGTGGGCAGGGCTGCATTTTTTCTGGAGGTCTAGGGGGCAGAATCTGTTCTGGTCTTTATTGGACTCCCAATGCTGCCTATATTCTTTGGCTGATGGTCTCCACTCTCCCGCAACAATGGGCCACATTTTATACTGTCATCTCCTGAGTTCTCCCTCTTTTGTCTACTACTTTCACCTTTTTTTTTTTTTTAAAGATTTATTTATTTATGCATACAAGAACTGGGGTACAGGCCAGAGGTGCAGGGGTTGAGAGGATTCACAAGAGACAGTGGGAAGAAGAACAGGTGGATCTACTGAAATACACTGCTGAGGGGAGCAGCAGGTGAGACAGGCGAGATCTGCTGTGCCATGTGGGTCAGTTCTGTGGCCGGGGATGGAACTCGTGCTACAGTGGCTGTGAACAAAGTCATAGTGTTGAGACTTAAAGCCTTGTGGTGCCAAGGAGGCCCTGCTACTTTCACTTTTAAGGACCCCTGTGATTACATTGGGCCCACCTGGGTAATCTACCCACAGCCTTAACTCTATTTCAAGGTCAGCTGATAAGCAACCTGAATTTTATCTGTAATCTTATTTCTCTACAACTTTTAGGTAATCTTACAGAATCATAGGCTCTAGGGGTTAGGATGTGGACATCTTTGGGGGAGGGGGCAGTGAGAGAGGAGCATTGTTCTACCCACCCGCAAGTAGACACCCTAAGAAATGGAATTACTGTGTCATAGGGTCTGCACATTTTTTGTTTTAACAGAAACTAACAAATTATTTACTTTTCTTGATTTTAGCCAAAAGGCCGAGAAGTGATACAAATTATTTTGCTTTTAACAGCAATGTTTTTAAATTATTCTTTCCCTATAACCTCTTCAACAGTGAATACCATTTTTAAAATTCTCTTCAGGCTTAGAGGAATTAAAGTTTTTCATTTTTGTTTTAATTTTCATTTCCTTGATTATTAGTGAGGTTTAGTTTCTTGTGTTAATTTCTCCTTGTGTGGTCACGCTGAACTGACAGCACATATCTTTTGCCTGTTTTCTTGTGGGATTGTCTTTTTTCTTATTTGATTTATAGCAGTTCTTTTTGTATTTTGGACATAAGGTCTTTGTGGATTTTGTATTGAAATTATAACTATCAAAATATCTGATTGACTGGAACACTTTGGTCCCTGACTCCAGGCTAAGAGTTTATTTCAGGGCCTGTTTTGAGGTTATAAAGCACAATGATTGTGACTTAGAATAAGAGTGGGAAAAAATGAGTGTGATATGGGATTGGTTTTCTAACCTGATTTTTTGGCACTGCATCATACACAGATAAAAATACATACAAAATTACCATCGCATGTGGAAACTCTGCTTTCCTACAGCCCTCGGGACCTAAATTTAGTGTTTAGAATGAGGGAGAATAGCGGCAGTTCTGTTGTGTGGCTCACTGGATGGCATTCCAGAAATTCCACTCAGTGAGGAAGCTCCCAGCCATTTGTCTCTGCCAAACCTCGGTGCCTCCTAGTTTTCTATGGGGTCAAGTCTAAACTCCGTTCATCAACTCTGTTCCTCCATGGGGAGCCTCTGCCCTCTCGTGCATGTGCTACTTCTCTGTCCTTTTGGCTCTAAACATTACCCCTTCCCAATTCTTGTCTGGCTGTGCACGTTTGTCAGAATTCACTGAACTGTCACTTAAAATGTATGCATTTGGCTATGATTAAATTATACCTCAAAGTACTGTTTGCATTGTGGCAAAAAACCCTCCTGTCCTTTCTCTTTCCATTACACACATTTCAGTAGTAAATTTGTGGTGGGAAGAAACTTGTTTCTTTGCATCCCTGTATCTAGAATAAATCTGCTTTGTAGAGAAGGTTCAAATATTTGAACAGAATTACATTTTTATTGTAAGTTTTTTTAGGTTAGTGTTACAGTTTAATGTGATGACAGTAGTAGCTTTGCATGCATTATTTTTCATTGGTCTTTAAACTGCTCTGTCTCAAATAGACACACACACACACACACACACACACACACAATTTGCAAGGTAAAATGTGTCTGTGTGTTTAAAGAAAGAGGAACTAACTGAATCACTATTATGTAGAACAGACTTGTCAGAATTTGTGGTTAGCAAGAAAGTGATGTTACGGGTGGGGGAATTCTGTTTTGGTATTATTTTCTCCTTCCTAAGAAAAATGTAGCATGAAAGGAGATGTTTGCCCCTGGTATGCCAGACTTGGGGGCGTGGGGTGGGTGGGAGGAGACTGAATGACGATTGCAGGATTGACGGTGTCCAGTTTGGTGGGACCAGATGTGTCTGTTAAGAGGAGTGAGCTCTGTGATAAATCTCTGTATATGCAGATAGGAGGCCTTGACCCTACAGGTATGTGAAGATATGAATCCTGATAATCTTATCCTCAGAAGAACTATGGTACTTAGACGCTTTGTGTGTTTTTACTATAGAATTAATCAAGAACTCATATCTAGACTTAAGGGGTGGATGTTTTTTGTGCACATATGAGTAGGATAGACGGGTGGATTCGGGAGGCCCAAAGTATGTGTTCTGTGTGTTGAGCTGTAGGACATTCGAGGCCATGCTTCATGCTGTTTTCATTGGCTGGGTTTCAGGGGAAGACATTTGCTGTTTGTGTGGAGTAGGGGTTTTGATGGGGTCTTTTAACATTCTTAACCAATTTGGAGTTTGTTAAGCAAATGTAAAGTGAAATAACACAGTGTTTGTTTAATCAATGAAAGTTTGTTAGGGACTGAAGAAAGTTGAGGGAATTATCTCTGAGAAGCACATTTGCATTATTTTCTAAGAATCTTTCATAACTGATTTGAGCTGGAAAAGTTGTTTACTAAAGGTCTTATGAATGAGTTGTAATCTGACCAGCAAAATTTTACTATTGTATATGAATTGGCACTTTCAGGAAAATGTTGTTTTACA